GGACTGAGTACACACTGCGATCCCGCAATACACGTTAGTCTTTTATTTGCTAATCCAATATATTCGTCCCGAATTAGTTAACCTCTCTCCGCCGGTATATTGAGTCTCATTTCCATAAATACCCGCAGACCAGGAATCATCAAACTACGGCCTGCGACGTCAATTCATCCAGCTCACCGAATGTACCAGGTTTTGCTTGGTAAACCGTATGGCACACGCGATGCTGCATGTTGTGTTGTCCGTGACCTTATACTGGTTGAACACCAGTGTGAGCCATCTGATGTTTATTACTTGTGACACTGTACTACCGTACTACTTGTGATCCCACATCGTTGGAACATTGATGTTAGTGATCACGCGTGAAGCCCATTCATCCGTGCATTCTAGCGTGTTTCTGCTTACCTCACACCTTTGTGCAACAATTTTCCTTTGGTCAGCTCCATCAAAGAACGTGTCATTTGCAATGCCGCTTATTATGACGCCATTACTTTATGTATGTAGCACTTTGTAGCCATACTTGATAGATATTTGAAAATATTTCAGGTTGTTAGTAAGGATTTGATCCGAAACCGCAAATTGTGGAGGTTCCTACATTTTAATGATGCTAACTGTCTGTAAGTAGCACCGGTATACAGTGCGAGTACTGTTTGTTGATTTCGTATTGGTGGACAAGCTCTGCTCAAGCTTTCAAAGCGCGTCTCCGCTTACACAAGCATATATATATATCCTATTGCAAGCATTATGACGAAAAGAATTCTTTACTCAAATTCTGCCTTCCTTGATTCATTCTAATAAATGGGAATTTTTGGATTGCTGAGGATCAGCATTCCCCGTGATTCAGTCATTACCGAGGGCACCAATGAGCATTACGTGTACATCTGGTGAGCTGTAGTTCCCTCAATGAATACCAGTCTTCTGCGTTTCGAGGGTTTCAATAGGATTTTCGTGCTGTTTGTCATACAGTAGCGTTTCAATGTTCCGATTCCCCGTATCTCGGTCTTCACAACGACTACTAGGAAAAGCCAAGTGGACACAGTGTCGTGTTTTCCGTGTCTATTTTCTCAGAGTTAACCTTCTGGCTTCCACCTATTGTATCTAATGTTTAGGTGGCCTATACTAAACACTTTGTCAAGTATGCTGCTCGCGTAAGATTTTCCCGGTTATCCGGCCCGGGCCAGTCTTTTTCTAGTCATCCGGCCCACCACATCAAAAGTTTGGTGACGGCAGTCATATAAGAATGCTACAGAAATATCTTACTTTGGATTGATCACTGCATACTTTTCAGAATTAGATGATGACATTCACATGACCGCTTCCCAGGCAACAATTGTCCGATGTGCCTTATGCTGCACCCAGGTCCCAGTGGAGTGCGTATACCTGTATACGTACAAATATATTCCAATTCTTCCCCAGGGATGCAATAGCAATTAGTCAATTAGCAATGCAACAACGTAGTGGCGCTTTCTAGATTTTTCATTCCTGGTATGGATGTAGTGGTTTCTCAAGAGAACAGGATCTCGCACACTCGAGAGACGAATATGTACCTAAAGGCATACAAATAGGTGTATATGAGGTGCATGTTTCCCTCCATTCAGTTGCGTGAGACGCATGTTGGATGTATGTGGGTCAGCTCCAAGCCAGTCATGAGTCCCGTCCACATACACCAGCATATTCCTTCGGTTGTACTCTCTATATGATATCTGTAGTTGAGCTGTTGGTGGTTTCGTGTAAGCAACATATGATATCTCTGTAGACATAGGCTTCCTGTGGCTGTTCTCAGTAGCGGTGACAGGCAAACCAAGAAACGGTTGTCGCCCGCAATGTAGCAATCCGCTGTCCGGTAGGAGCTTTATATCTTGAATTTATACTGACCAGAGCTAAGTGCTACCATTGTTTAGGGAGAATTTCTTGATTGTTTGGTCTATCGCATTCAGCACATACAGGAACTCCGCCGACGTACAGATGTAATAAACAGTACGTCAGAGCTGCTTGATTTCATCTATCTAAGGCCGCTAAATCGAAACGGTAAGGAGAGACTAAGAAACCTACACGGCTTAAGGGCGGCCTGTGGATCTGTAACACGCACTACCGCTTACTGGGTAACGTCCCACCCTAGCCCAAACATATGATACAAGACATCGGTGGACCGCGTTCTGTGAAGCAACTGGCTCTGTGAATGACAGAAAGAAAGTACTTAGACACTAGTTTATGCCGTTTATTCAGTTATGAAAGTCCGTGGTCCTTTAATTAGACGGAAGAGCGTTTATTTAACCGACCACGATAGAAGCAACGCCTATGTTGGTGAAGTTATCGACGAGGTCTGCAAGTGTTACAGCCCAGGGTGGACTCACTCGGCCTCAGCTACTTTTCCCAAATGGCGATACTACAGCTTATCAAACAGTGCAACTGCGTGGGTCCGCGACAGTCGTTACACCTCAATGAAGCCGAAAATCTTCGATCATTGGAGTGCGCGAAATGCCTTTCGTGTATGAAAGAGCTAAGCAATCCTAAGGTCTGTCTGTAAAATCTTGCTGACAGCCAATTTGCGTTTCCCTGAGCCATTCGACAAACTATACTATGGTTGCGGCCATCGCGTGCATACAAAATAGCTTGCCTCACATGCGTGGTTCGCCGAAAACGTTATAGTTGTACGGATGCCCCAACTGCAAATAGAATAGTCGGATGAGCGACTAAGAACAATTGCTGGCCGGGCATTCATTTTCGTAAACTAGGATTGGCTCGAGGCATTTAGCAACTATCGAACATCGCCCCCTCTACGCACTCGGTAGAGGGAGGCGGTCGATGACCCAGTGTGGAGAAGCACGGAAATCAAAACTTACACTTTCCTCTGAATCCTCCGTTCCCATGTGGTACTGAAAATGTAGCGCATTACTTCACAGAGCTGCGTCCGGTCACATCTACTGGATTTGTGGAAACCAGTAAACATCAAACGGAGATAGAGAATTCCTAAGTAACTAAACGACTGACGTTCGAGTGTCTTCTAAGGTGGGTGGTCAGGCGAAGAAAATACAAGGTAGTTATATCAAATACTTGAATTACTATTCCCACACAAATAAGAAAAACGAGTAGAGTCATAAATGAATGCGAAGTGAAATCAATCGACTGTACATAAACAGGGCATGAGATCATCTTAAAATTACACACCAGTTGCAAGAAGACGATGCTACGGTTCCTCCTAGATTTCTAGCGCATCTGGCGCCGTTTCCTGTTTGTTGACGTATTGGACGAGCAGACTTCGATTTTCTTTTCCTTTTATTAATGCGCAGACACCTCCAGTAGCCAATGAACTCAAGTTCAATCCTCTGCTGAATGAACTCTTTCGTGGAGTACCCCAACTCGTGATAGGTGACCAACTTGGAAGTATCGCAGCTAGGTACGAGTTCGGATGCGGATGGACCGTGTGTTTCTGCTTCACTGTTTTGTATTCGTTCCCGGTGAAACAAGTAGTGTGATAGAAGAAGCCAATGATGGTATCCTGAAACAGAACATTAACAAAGAATAGGGGATATGTCCAGTAGTTCTAGTCGCGCAGTGGGAAATGGGGTGGGTATTGTAGGCCAAGCAATCAAGTGCACAATTATCGTAGAGTGAGCATAGAGGGAAACATATTGAGTGAGGTGAGACCTGGGGTTGATTACACGGCTGCATTCGGTATGAGGAAATCGGTAGTGCACAATAAGCACACGATCCGAATCAGAGTTGGTGAGCATTAACGACGGATATTACGATGCCAATCATTCGGTCAGATTACTATCCCTGGGCAACCATCTTAAATTTTATACTTTCAATAACGAAGTGCAATCTGTGTTCGTTGGAGTAAAATCTGGTCTTATGCTACCTGAAAGCGTAGATGCTTACATTGTTGTGTCAGTGCTGGTGGTGTGCGCTTGCTTCCGTCGAGATTTGACTCCATAACCCAGGTAACATGCAAAGAATAACTGTAGTTGGTCATGGAAGCGCTAAGGGCCTTGAACATGGGGCAAGCGAAGATCGTTTTCATTTTAATGTGAGCTTATAAACTCACTTACACAAGCGCATTGGCATCCACGGTGCGGGTTGTTAGCCTTGGATGAAGCGAAATGAACCTGAGAAAGTCGGTGCCGGTAGGCTTCAGCGGAATTAGAGACAGCGTAACGGCATCGTGTTCATAGACCCATCTTCCCCAATGCAGTACTCAGCTGAGAAGTGCATATCGTTTTAGCATAATTCTCTTTCCTTTCACATACTACGACTCATTGCGCAACCACTGATAGCGCATAAATTGTATGCCTTGGTCCTGTATTGGGGTGTGACGACCGTCAGAGGAAAAGCTCCTTCAACGTGGAATAGCGCGTACGCGTTCGATGTGCCCTGACATATCCTCCAGTGGGCAGCATGGCATATCCGAGTAAAATTCACCCGACATGCCCTCAACATTAAAGTGTTTACCAAACTTGTGGATGATTGGATATTTGCTTCGCAGAATACACTGGCCAATCGCCGGACACAATCGCAGCGATGCGGACAAATCGGTCACTTCGCCAAGCGTGTGCGGTGACAACGCCTTCACTCCCTCTCACCGTCCCTGTGCCAACATTTCGACGACCTGTGGTTTGTCAAATCTGGTTGGTTGCTCCACGCATGTACGGTTAACCGTACTCTCCCGTCATCAGTTTCATGCCGGACCTCTAGCAGTCCTTCTGACAGATTGGCTTGGTCAGTTGCAATTGCTGATACTTGAGATCGTGCAACAGTTGATGTACCTCCAAGAGTACAATTGATAAAGACTTAGTGACGTAAATATGAAGAATGTTGTACGCAACAAACAAGATTATAAGCCAACTTTATTGGCCAAAAAGGCACTTTCTTCCACGCACCGGTGTGAGTAGGGGACACAGTGTGTACTGTGTACCTTTAACTACTTTTAATGATCAAGTAGTATAGGGTTGAGCAAGCGGTAAGATGGAACGCTGACGGGCTGTATGCACGTTTGTCTGACCATGATACATGGTCATCGATGTTTATCTAAAAACCCAGCACCGGAGAACGGTCAAGTTACGAAACAGTCGGTGTATCATGGTGAGTTTTTAAGCGCAGTGATTTCCGTAAATTTGGCTTATGGAACGGACTTCAGCCTTGCTCCACTCCGTGGTTACATCCGCATGTTGGCCGAGGTCACATTACGTTCACGAGAAGATGGCTGGGCTGGGCCAGAGCTCATACAGTTAGGTAACGCTGTGTATTTCAGAAGCCGATGATTTTCACGGTCATCCGTATGTTCACGTATACCTAACTCACTCGTAAGAGATAGGCATCTGTCAAATGCCAAATACAGTAAAACCTCCGCAACTCTGCACCACTATATCCTGACCAACTCTCTGAGTTCACACGGTCTGTTCATTGTTTGAATGTGCACAAATAAAACCTTATAGATCTAGACTTCCATATGTTAACTACTTTGGTTCAGTCCCTCGAGTGATCACTTCACGGTTATACTGTATTATTTTCCAGGAAGATTGCTGTCAATCTACGCCCATGTGGTAATAATACTCAAATAATTCGAGGGTGAAAGTTACCTGCTAAATCACCCTGAGTGGTTAGTGGAAGCAGTAGCTGGCATATGTCTCCGAGACCATGGGTGGCCTGAGTTGCACCTTACACTGGA